CTCGAATTATCCAATGATCCTTATCATTATCGTATTAACGAGAAAGAACTATTATTCTGATTCATGATATTATGACAATAATGGACTTATCTTAATCACTAATCGAATCGCATTACGAATATTGTATTCACGGCAGGACATTTGTAACTCACGGAATTATTTTACTTCTTTCGACAACACGAACGACGTTCATGATTAAGGTGAGCTCGTTCCATTTATTTTGCCGCATCGCATTATTATGTTTCAAATCGCTTATCAAAGCAATGGCTCAACGACAATTATCGTCCATTAATATTTCCGTGTCTATACGATTATCGCATTGGAGATATCTTCTATGTACTCGTCAGCTGCTCGCACTCGAAAATCTTGCAGCCTGCTAAGTAAATTGGTGGTATGATCTTACGCACATGCACACGGAGCAGCAGTTCAAGCAGTCGACCGAACCTCCTGCACGCTGATATTCGCATGTTTTCGACTACCCTAACGCTGGCAACGGCTTGCAACGCTATCACACACATAAGTTTGGAGTCATATACTCAAAGGTAGTAACTTATGTACTCGATATGCATTTAATGTCCATGCATCGCATTGGTACGCAGCTTTATTCGCCAAAATTTTTCCACGATAATCTCGATCGCAATTTCTTCACCTATCTACAGCCACTCGATTTATCGATGAGGCTTAAAGTGATGTCTATAAGATTATCGAATTCCGTCTCAACTGTCATGCCTAAACGATATTAAATATTTGGCAGCATTTGTATTACATTTTCGTATCGTACACCTGCTCCTAATGTATTCTATTCGAAATCGATTATTTTTGCTAATAACCGCTTACCATATTTTTTTTGATCTTCTGTTACTATGCGAACTCACGAACATATTTGGACAAGGTAACTTTAATTTTCGTAACTTTTGATGTTTTCCGACAATTTCGATTTTCTTTTTGTCGCAAACAAAGACATTTTCGTAACCTTGTTTGCTGGAAGGGGGCTATTGTAGTGCCTCCACATTTATTTGCATCCGCTTACATTTAATTTGCTTAAGCCCTTTCGATTAATTTCTTTAACCAGGCCATTCGCTTAGCAATAACTTGTATGTACCATTGGTATTTTTTCTTATCTGGTTTGTATGAGCTAGTATGACTGAGCATTGGTTAACGCCTACGCACATATGCATCCTATTCGCTTTAATATTAATCTCCTAAATACCACGATGACTCAGACATTTTCCTTTGTATATATACGAACATTTTAATCTTATTAATACATTCGCATATTCGCTCGCTAGTGTGTCTGCCCGGTCTGTCTGTGGTCTGCTATCGTTATTGTGGTGTGCTACAATAAACGTATACGATACTTGGAATTCATCTTCTGATTTATTAACCGTCTGACGTCATTTGGATAAGGTAGTCTGAACGAGCTTATTACGAAACGTAAGAACACGCCCGAATCGGAGCACTACAGATTCACGGAGGGATAACGATTAGTGACGCGAACGTAATTGGCCAGTAGCGGTGTTTATAGTCACCCTTGCCTCGCGCTGCTACATTTGGAGACAATCACTCCTACAGCCGCCACAATGTATTAGGGTTTTCGTTCGCTGATGTGCAATTTTTCAAGTTTTACCTCACGGAGCACAGGGATTAGGTCCTGATAAGATGTTGATACTCAGGTGAAGGGGTCGCATTTCACTAGATAGAACAACTGACTCAAAGTGCTCATGAGATCTTTACTGCAGCAGAGTGATTACTGTTGTGTTAACATGGTACTGAAGCCATGCTGTCTATTCATGCAGAGTCACTCAACCCCGGGGCTCTATTACGTTCTGTCACGTCCTATTATGTTTAAAGAAGGTGAAATTTAAGCTCTCACTCAAACAGACGAAACCAATGCCAGTGTCAGCACATTTCTCAAAATAACAGCCAAAGATTAAGCCACAAGATACATACACCAGGCAAACTATTATACAAATACTGAGTGTTGGTTTGGGAACTTTTGACCGCTGGATGTGTCTTAACCGCCGACTGCAGGAAGAATCAAGCATGGACATCTTAAAAGATAATATTTATAATTTCACTCCTTTTGCTCCAATCACTGGAAAGTAAGTTTAAACAAGACTCCCTGGATCTCTTTATTGTCTCTCTGATAGGTGGTAGTCTATTGAGAGATAGTTACTTACTTAGACCTGTTACCCCCGATGGCTACCGACCAACAATCTCCTACGAATTCTATTCTTAGCCTTCTGTCTCATTGCTGCCCAATTGGTGTTCATTCTTTTCATATCTGTCTCCGATTCTTGGAGTACAGTTTTTTAATCTTCTTTTCCGTTGGCTTTGAGGATTTCAGGTGACTGCTTGTCTTGTGAAGCAGTTGTGTGATTCCTCAAAGTATTTCCTATTCACATCTAGCGTTTTTTCGTAAATTTTTACTTAGCTGAAATCTGGTTCGTTTCCTCACAGAGAAGGTGGATGTTGATGATGTCTGATCAATGCATAGACATCTATTAGAGGTATCATCATGTTAATTCTGTCGAATGTGTTCTCGTAGTCAAGGAAGCTAATATATATAGTGGTGAGTTAAATTCAGCTGATTGTTCAGCAATGATCCGTGGTATGGCGATTTGGTCGGTTCTTACTGAATGCAGTCTGTGAATAATAATAATCTGCATGTCAGGTATGTAATGTTCATTCCGTTCAACAACGCACAGTAGATGATATTTCCTGTTACTGATAGTAGAGTGTTTGCTCAATAGTTGTCACACTTGTAGAGGCTTAATACTGGACTTCAGTGTGGACGAATGATCGGGTATGTGATGAAACAAATCCTCCATTCCATTTCCGTCTTTTATACTTAGGCTAACCCCGTTTGTGTGACGGTAGTAATAAAAAGGCCAAATATGGTTTCTCGAATGAATTGATTTCATGCAATCATTTATGCAGACAAACGTGAGAAGAAATGTGTACAAGCAAAACGAAGGGCATTGGAGAAGGCTAGTAAGCCGACTCCAATAGATAAATCATGAATAAGAATTTATAGTCAGACAAAAATAAGACAGACATATAACAATCGAGATAGGCATGCACACATATGAATGAAAGGTGACGAATGATTGACAAGGTCAAAAGACAAGTGGGACAAGTCATGTGAGCTAGACATTAAATGACTCACTACACACTTACTAAAATCTCCCTGCTTTGGTATCTTGATGAGGTTTCCTGCTCTCCAAACTGTTAGTGTTTGTTCTTCCGCCAAAATCTTGCTAAACAGCGTGGAACATCTTTTCGGTTATGCTATGTCTGCTTTCAGTGACCCAGCTGGCATGCTGTCTGATCTAGTTGTTTTACTACTCTTGTTTATTGGCCATACTTATTTCTTTTATTATCGATGGTTGTTGTTGGATGTCCGTGGGTTCTGCTTCTATGTTGGCGGCGTTCAGTGGTGCCGGTCTATTCGGGAGTACTTCAAAATGCTCCACCCACATGGTGCACTGTTCTTGAATGTCAATGATTGGTTTGCCTTCACTGTTCTTGACTGTTGTTCTAGCTTACGATATTTCCCAGAGATATTCTTAGTCATATAGTACGTTTGTCTCACATTTCCTTCCCCTGCACAACTGTTCCTTATGATATCGGTTCTTCTAGCTGAGAACCTCATGACATGCAAACGTTCGCGCCTAATCAATGCATTTCATGTTGTTTTCTATGGTTTTTTCCTATCTACTGAGTAGACACTAAAAAACTTGAAATCTTTTGCTGAGAGCAATTTTGAATTCCTTTAGTTTTTTAGTGTACTGAATAAAGGCCATAATAAATTTACCTACCTTTTTTAGCCCAGTGATCCTGTGCATCCTTAGTTTCGATTCCATCTTGGCCAAAGCTAGGTGATAATGTGAAACTATGCCAGTCCCTTCTTCCTTCTCTTACCCCCCATGTTCCTACTGAACATTTTATTGATCCAGACGTGGTTGCCTTCAGCGTGATCCAGTGAAACACATGTAGCTTTGTTAATTTGTTTGTTTAGGAACCTGTTACCAACTATGATCATTCCGTTGAAGGTGCATAGGTTTGTGAATCTCTCAGCATGTTCATTACTTTCTCGCAGTCCATGTCGTCATATGACATCCTATATTTGTGCTTCTTTGGACAGCATCAGTGGAACTCATTTGCGTATATGATTCATTTTTTGATTAACTTTTTTAGTTCAGCCAGATGATCAGTAGTGAACCGAGAGACATTCAGTCAATTAACTCTTCTGATATTGAACTGTACATAAATCTCTTGGATCGAGTACAGAGACGAGCAACTAAATGGGTGATACGGTTGAAAAATAAACCCTACGACGATAGACTCCAGCTCTTGGGATTATTTCCACTGAGCACACTTTTTCTCATAGCGAGCCGTCGCAACTTGGAATGCTCTCCCAGCCGAGGTAACTACAGCCCCCCTCAGTGGACTGCTTCAAAAAGAGACTTGATAATCACGTACTCACACACGGACTATCATCTCCCTCTTGGACAAACTGTTCATGCATATCTTGAGACCTGTTAGTTGTTACCATTGCCATCTCCTCAGATCACTCAATTGATCTATCTCGCCTATTATCTCTGGTTCCTACCCCTTGCTTACAATTCGGTCCTCTCTCACAATATTCACTACCAATTAATAAACTAAATTCATCTATATATTACTCAGTTCTGAAATTTTATTCATATTATCATTATAATTTTATCCTTATTACCCTTATTACTCTCCACATTGCAACGAACTGATCTCCGGTTTGGTAATGTGACGGCTACTAGTATCCAGAAATCCTACTGCCCTGAAACAAACGTCTCATTCAAATCCCGAGACAGACAAACTCACAACCAACTGTCAGCTGACTAGAATTAGACAGTCAATTGGCTAGACCTCCATGCATTGGACATTACCGAACACCTGGAACCGCACCTAAAGAACAAGAATCGAGCGCGAAGAAATCAAATTGGTTTACACTAGCTCGTGAAAAAGATATTGAATTTTGGATAACCAAGCGCACTATTCATGTAGTTTCGTTACGCACTTTAGACGCGTTATTTTACCTAGAGTCGAAATAAAAATGGTGAGTTCTGTATTGATTTCATATAATGGCATAAAATACAAGGCACAGATTAATCCTACAACGCAGCAGCCAATGACTGAGTTGGAATTGCTGAGGATGAAAATGAACGCGAAAACGGACGAAGTATTGTTTCTCATAATTTATTAATTACTTAATACAGACTCTTGATTCAACGAGGAACATGGTTCGCTTGTGTGATGAGGTATGTCTTTTTCATTCGTGTTATTTGGTTGAGATTTATAACCTTCATTTACTGATAAATCATTCAGTGTCGTAAGACTTTAAACGTCCACTAAGAATTAAATGCTGTATTATCAAGTTTAAATCCAAAATTCACGTTAGTTCTTACATTATGGGATATTACCTCTCACAAAGGTGTAGGAGATGAGGTTTTCGCTCCAGCATTTTATATCATTCCATTTAATATTGGTTTCGAAGGAAATTTCGAAGGTTTTATTTTCAGATATATACGTGAGTCGTGATTTAAAGTTATATCAGTCTCAGCTGCCCCACAATAGTAGATTTTTTTGAATGGTTGATTTGTTTTTTAATATACAAACTCCCTTCTGGGTAGTGAGCTCCTGTTTTCAAATCGACGTTATTAATATTATTATTATCAACTTAGTGCTAAGTGGGTGTCCTAGTGCTTATCTTGGAGAAACACTTGAAGTAACAGCTGCTAGTACTGTTCGATTACCGAGCCCGTGGCTAATGGAGTTTCTTTCTAGCAGGCTAATTAGTTTCTAAGCGTCGAAATTCTTGACCACCAGGCCACTTGATGAAATAACTAATTATCACGTAGTTTACTATACCCTCACTATGTAGCTGTGGATTGTCAGTGAACCACTCACATCTGACAGCACAAGCTCATGCACGCACTCTAGGGCCCTGCCATTGGTTTTTTCATATTTTGCTTCTAATCCAAAGCTCTTTGTGGAGATGAGAGTGAAATGTAAAGAACCTTAATCAGTAAATTAAGAGAAGCCAATGGACGTTAAGTGCCTCTCATATTTATACGAAGTTGAACATGAAGAACGAAGTCAGCGTAGGCGCAGGTTGATAAAAAGCCTACGCAACGATCATGAACAGTGGTGGGTGGCGAAAGCAAAAGCGATGGAAGAGGCAGTGGCGATCGGCAACAGTAGAAAACTTTTCCGAATAATCAAAGAAATTGGTATTAGGAATTCTACTGTAAGTGAGACTATCTCGGTGAAGGATGGCTGTATCATTTATTCTCAATCCAGGAGACTGGATCGATGGACAGAACACTTCAGGGATCAGTTCAACTGGCCTTCAGCCACACTTCGGTTACCCACGATCTCCAGTCATCCTGAATGGCAAATTGACGTAAGCCCTCCGAACCGTTATGAAGTTGAAAAGGCTATAGGAAATCTAAAGCAAGGGCAAGCAGCAGGTCCCGATAGGCTTGCTCCTGAGATTTTTAAGGATGGTGGTCCAGCTTTATCAGCTAGATTGACTGAAATCTTAGGTAGAATCTGGGAACTGGACACAATCCCATCCGACTGGTCTCAATCCCTGATTGTCCCAACGTATAAGAAAGGACAAAAGTCTTCTTGTGACAATCACAGGGGAATCAGTCTAACTAATATAGTTTCTAAATTGTTAGCCTTGATAATACCTAGACGCCTTACTAGTGCTCGTGAAGAGCAGAATCGAGAAAACAGGGTGGTTTCAGACCTGGACGTGGCTGTATAGACCACATTTTCGCACTACGACAGGTCCTGGAACACAGACACACATTTAGGCGTCCTACAATAGTTGTTTTCCTAGACCTAAAAGCGGCATTTGACTCAGTGGATCGTGAGGTTCTGTGGCAGTGTCTGTCATTGAAAGGTGTACCAAAGGAGTACATTAACCTTATACAAGCTCTCTACTCAAACACCACTGGTCGAGTGAGAGCTTACGGCGAACTGTCACCGGAATTCTTCACTTCAAGTGGTGTCCGTCAGGGTTGTCCACTCTCTCCGTTCTTGTTTAATTTTATCATAGACATGCTCCTAGATATAACCTTATCCTCGTCTGAATTTTCAGGAGTTGACTTTCTACCAGGAAAATCGCTTACTGACCTAGAATATGCCGATGACATAGTTCTATTCGGTGAAGACGCTGGAAAAATGCAGTCTCCTGACTACCCTGAGCAACAATGCAAGCATATTCGGGATACTGTTTTCCCCCTCGAAATGCAAAATGTTGCTTCAAGATTGGGTTTTATCGGCGCCTGAACTAGTGATAGGGAGTGAAGTAGTCGAGCGTGTAGACGGCTCCACGTATCTGGGGAGTCTGATCAGTACTGATGGCCTGGTGACTGACGAAATTTCAGCTCGGATACAGAAGGGTCGATTGGCTTTTGCCAACCTGCTTCACTTATGGAGTAGGTGAGATATCCGTTTGCTGATTAAAGGACGAGTTTACTGTGCAGTAGTTCGCTCTATGGTTACAGACGTTGAACGACATGGTATGGCAACCTGAACTGATGTACCTTCGCACGAAGTTCTGCGTTGTATCTGTCTGTAATGATGGGAAACGTCGGTTAATGTAGAACTACAAAGAAGATTACTTGGAAGCGGCCACTGATATTACAAAACTTTTTTAACTGTCTTATTGGCTTTTTCAACAATTTAAGACATCTTGAACGCTCTTCAGTCCAAACATTCCTAATAACTTACCGGTAATATTTTATCTGTCCTTTTATTTTACCTGCATCGCTCACTAATTTTCGCAATCTTACCATAGTTATTCATTTAGTAAACGAATGAATGTTTGACTCAATAAAGTTCGACTGAGTTATTACGGTGTTAGTAAATTTTTTTAAGACACTGATCTATTATCGGAAGTTTGCAAACATTCTACTTTATCTTATCAAAGATCTAAACATTTCTTTAAGACTGAAAAGAATCCTTACGTCGTGGGCTTACATATTGTCATGAGCTGCTGTAAGCAATCGGGTAGATACGAATGACGGTGGGGACAGATATATAATCAGTTTGCGATTAGCGAAAGCAAATAAGTATCATGGTAATTTGCATAATCTTTGGCATTGTCGTACTGTTAGTTGAATGATAAAAGTCTGGAGTTATATAGATTGCGTTCAAATATTTCGTCTTTGCGTTTGTAAATAATGACCGACTAGTTCAATAGGATTTGAGTTGTCTCTCTCTATATCATCGTATATTCAGATATTATTAGTACGAAATTAAAGTTCGAGAAATCATTATTTTTGGTGGTGGATCTTTGTTACCACATTTCGTGTAAGGTTGTCTTCTAGAACAACATCGTCACTTGGTGAATTGATGTAGAGCTTATGAGACGTTAATAAGTTCCCTACATATGCATCATTTCAAAAGGCGACCATTACAACGCCCTGATTTCAAAAAGCTACAATACCTCAATAGTCTTGAAAGTGTCGAAGGATTCGTCAGATAATGAGGATTTCATCAACAAACCCTTGACTTGACCGAAATTGTGGCCGATCTCAGGTGACGAAGTCTTTCATGAGTTCTAAACTATTCTGCTTGGATGTTTGAAAGCCTTATACCAACCAATAATACTATATCGTGATCTAATAGTCTAAGGTATTCCCTTCTATTTATTACTCTAGTTGCTGATGTTGGGTTTAGAGTACTAGAGTACAAACTGGTTAATTGAAACTAGATACATCCATCGACTAGGGTGATTGAAACATGTTTTGTGTATCCCCAATTACTGCTAATCTTGACTTGACTGGGGTAAGTGTAAGCTAAAACTAATCTAAGGGAAGTCAAATCAAGAGTGAACCATGTTGTTAGGTATAGACTACCTAGTTTTTGTCCATATGGTTAGCCTTATATTTACAGGATTGCTGATTGATGTTTCTCCATGTAGTAAGTGATTTAATTCTTGCTTACTTACGCCTGTTACCCCCAATGGAGCATAAGCCGCCGACAAGTTTTCTCCAACCAACTCTGTCCTGGGCTTCCCTTTCCAATTCTTTCCAACTTTTGTTCATTTTTATCATGTCTTTCTCTATTTTTCGGCGTAATGTGTTTCTTGATCTCCCTCTTTTCCGTTAGTCTTAAGGGTTCCAAGAAATGGCTTGTGACTCAGTTGGGTGCTTTTCGCAGTGTGTGTCCTATCCACTTTCACCGCCTCTTCTTGATTTGCTCCTCCGCTGGAATCTGGTTTGTTCTCGCTCACAGTAGGTTGTGGCTGATGGTGTTTGGCCAACGGATCCGAAGTATTTTGCGTAGACAACTGTTAATAAATACTTGTATCTTCTGTATGCTAGCTTTTGTAGTTCTCCAAGTTTCCGCGTCATATAGTAGAACTGTTTTGATATCTGTATTGAAAATCCTGATTTCGGTGTTGGTTGATAGTTGTTTTGAGTTCCAGACATTATCAGTCAGTTAGTCAGTTGCAACGTAGAACTTCGTACGTATGTACATAAGTTCAGGTTCCCACACCACATTAACACAGACGCAAATGTCAATTCAAATCCCATAGTGATAGAGATAGTAGACGTAATAATGGTAATGAAGAAGACTACGGTTTGAAGATATTATTCATGAAGTATAATTCAGTGAGGTAAGGTTAGAAAGACAAAGGTAGAGCTGCTAACGAATCCAGAAGATTAGGATTTGAGAGAGCTCAACGAATGGATGCACTTGCGCCATTGCAAACGATTCTGAGCCACGTCGTTCAGGGTCTCTAACCATCTGTGACTTACGTCTCGCGGACCCCAACCACGTAGTCTACATCTACCAAAATGAATCAGTCCACTTGTCAGTGACTTCATGGATTTGTTCCATGTTTTGGTTTGGCCGCCCCTAGCATTCTTTCAACCTACTCCTACACCACAAAACATCTCTCGTTGAGGCAGTCAGTGGTTAGACATACGTAACACATGTCCCAACCACCTCAACTGATGAAGTTTCACTACTTCATCTATTGATTTACCATCTCTACCTAGAACTCATTTCCTAACGACAGCATTGTTTACTTGGTTGTCCCACGATATAGGAGCAATGCTTCGAAGGCACCTATGATCGAATCCTAGTAACCTACGAATGTCTTCTACTCTCACTGGCCATGTTTCACAGCCATAAAGTAAGACGGAGCGAACTACTACACAGTACACTCGTCCTTTAGTCAGAAAACGAATATCTCGCCTAATCCATAAGTGACGCCGGTTGGCAAAAGCCATTCGAGCCTTCTCTATCCGAGCTGAGATTTCGTCAGTCACCAGGCCATCAGCACTGATGAGACTCCCCAGATAAGCGAAGCGGTCTAAACGTTCGACTACTTCACTCCCTATCACTAGTTCAGGTGCTGATGCAACCCAATCTTGAAGCAACATTTTTCATTTCGACGAGGAGAACCGCATCCCGAACATGCTTGCATTGTTGCTTAGGGTAGTTAGAAGACTGCATTTTTTCAGCGTCTTCACCAAATAGAACTATGTCTGGACCAGACATTATTCAACTGAAGAAACGCTACCGTCGCTCTGTCAATCAGTGCCCATACACTTGCATCAGTTCCACCATGATTATCAATGATGCTGACTAGATATGTAAAGGTTTTAACGTCCTCCAAGCCATTTCCATCAAGAGTGATTTGGTTGACGTATGTTGTGTAGAATTGAAGGTTCTTGCTTCTCCCTTTATGTATGTTGAAAGCATTTGGTGCTACACTGTGCGTCTTCTCTTGCATTTGTTGTTGTATGTGCGATAGAAGAGCCAGATTATTTGCGAAGTCCAGATCGTTTAGCTGCATCGTGGCTATTCACTGTATACCATGCTTCCCCCTCGGATGTTGACGTCCTCATAATCCAAGTGATTTATTAATAGGTTTATAAGTTTCAATGATTGATAACTAATTGATATACGATAACACGGAGCTTAAATAATATCATAATAAATAATATCATAATTTCATACCCGACCGCAGCTGCTACCTTGACGTGGTGGTCGGGCTTGACTATCGTGATCACCCAGCCGAGCTATACTGGCTGGAACATATGTTCTTGAAGGTTGTACCATGCCAGGCAGGTCGATTAGAGAACGATAAAACTAAAAGCAGCTACCCAAGGTCTGAGGGCGAAGTCGTACTGCTGACTGCAGAGGGGTTTGACAGCAGTAAGGTGTTTCCCTCGGACAACCAGCATCTGTAGTGATGCTGTCTTCTCACAAGGAAGGAAGAGTTAGAAAAGGTCGACCCTAAAAATGTCACACCTTACCCTACCTCACGGATTTCCGTCCTCGTTGGTAAGGACTACCCACTTAGGGCTTTAAAAAGAGCGGAGCTAATACCCAAAAAACCTTTCATAACAAGGCCAGGCGTGACCGACCTGAAGCAGTTATCCCTTGGGTTCTGCAGTCACACTCCTGGGTCTCTAAGACCAACACTAATCTACCTTCCTTTTCAGGCTCCTCAAGAAACACCCATCCAAAGTGTGGGCAGCCGGGAAGTGACAACCGCCCTCACATACCCGTAACAGCACACGAAACCAAATTGGTCAAAATCAAATCCTTCCTATACTTATTAATCACTTCCAACTAATCTCTTCTAAGTTCAATGTTGTTCTGTTTTTATAGCTCATACGTCGTTGTCCAGTTGAATAGCTTTTCTATGCTGGTAAAATATTTCCTACACTATATGGTCCAGTAGTATTTTTTAGCGTTACAAATCTTAACTGATCATTAAGTTTGATATATTTTCTATGAACATTGATATTTACGAATGAAATAAACTATTTTTTTCCAATGTAACTAATTTACTGTACACATGTTTCTATAAGTGGTGAACAGTTTTTTTTTTCGCTCATCGGTACACAAACGGTACATTGAATCATGTTACGAAAAAGCGTTCACTATTCAATGAAAATATTATGAATTTTTAATTGATTTTATTTGAATGTTATTTTTTACACACTGTTTTGTTTTGTTTGTCTGTTCATAATAATGTTCTATTCATAAATTTTGTAAAGAATTTGGATTCATTGAGAACTGATTTTTATTTCTTTTATAGAGTACTACAGTAGGTGCTCAAACACTGGGCAAGCTGGAATCTCAAGGCCGTAGGTCTTCAATTGATTGGATTTAATTTTTAAACCATCTTATCATAAAAAATTTTATTTGTTAACTAGACCTTGAATGACATGGCTCAAAATCGTTCGCACTGGCGCAGGTGCATTTATTCTTTGTGTTCTCTCAAATCCTAATCTTCTGGATTCTTCAACACCTCTAGTTTTGACTTTCTAAACTTTTCTCATTGAATCATACTTCTTGAATAATATGTTCTAATCCTAACCTCTCCGATTACTTCTAATACCTTTACAACCTCTTCTACTATTGGATTTAAATTGACAGTTGCATCTCTGTGTGCTGATGTGGTATGGCAACATGAACTGATGTACTGACGTACAAAGTTCTCCGTTGCATCTGACTGACTGATTATCGCGTATATTATTGGTTGTTTTACTCTCTAATAGAGGGCATATAAAGTTGACTTGTGTTAAACGTCCTTATTTTTGGAGGAAGTTTTCTGTTCTTCATTGAATTCGTCTTTTGTGATCTGATTGTTCGATTCATATGTAGTAGTAATAGTGTATATTATTACGTAACCCTTAATATCAAATTTTGGCGTATCGTTCTTTGCATAACCACTAAAGAAAATGAATGATATGATCAAATAGGTTAGTTAGTTTGTCGAAAATCATGTTTTTATAGCATTATTCGACTGCCTCGACGAGCTATGTTTTGTGGTGTAGGAGTAGGTTGGAAGAAAGCTAGCGGCGACCAAACCCAGACATGGCACAAATCCATGAAGTCACTGACAAGTGGACTGAGTCATGTTGGTAGATGTAGGCTATCTGGTTGGGGTCCGTGAGACGAAAGTCACCAATGGTTAGAGACCTTGAATGACATGGCTCAAAATCGTTTGCAATGGCGTAAGTGGTTCCATTTGTTGTGCTCTCTCAAATCCTAATCTTCTGGAATCGTCAGCACCTCTACCTTTGTCTTTCTAACGTTATCTTACTGAATTATGCTTCTTGAATAATGTCTTTGAACACTAATCTTCTCCATTACTGCTAATACTTCTACTATCTGTCCCACTCTTGGATTTGAACTGACAGTTGCGTCTGTGTGCTGATGTGGTATGGCAACCTGAACTGATGTACTCATTTAGGAAGTTCTGCGTTGTATCTGTCTGTCTGTCAATGGCACTCAAATAATTTAATATCATACACACTTTTAACCTCGAAGAATCACAAACAATGTGATTTTTTCAGCCTCATAGTCACTACGTTATCCCCTAATGGTGTAGTCGATATGTTTATCATGTTTCCCCAATTTCCGTCTTCAAACTGGTGAGTGAGTACATTTCTGTTAGTATCAGTCACGACACACCAACCCTAATCGAAAATACTCTCATCTATATATATCGATTTGTATAATCGCGTAATTACTAATTAGAAAAAAGGTCACATATACATAAGATTGTAATAAAATTGCATGTCGCATTTCATACTGAGCATAGTTCGTGTTTGAATTCAGCTACAATGATTAACAGATTTTAAATTAATGAACAACATCATCACATTGAAAATGAAACAAACTGTACTCTGAGTAATCATCATATTGAATGTTAACATAGAAATTACAATGGGTAAAAAGTGTATCATCATGCCGTTATATTAAAATCAACAATTAAGTTTGCTGGTTGTAGATGAATCCCTAAAACGCCCAACAATGAGAAAGTTGTATGAAAAAGAATGTCTATGAAAAAGTTGATTGAAAATGCTCAAACCTGACGAACACCGCCTAAGGTTGTCGATTGTAACGACTGATCACCATAAGCTCTGGTTCGATTGTGGTGAAGGAGAACACAGGTGGGGCAACCGGATTGTATTTAACGAAAATTACAGAGTTACTCAGTAAAATAGGAAAACCATATCGTAAATCGTTAATTTTGCAAAATATCAGTCCATCATATCGAACTGGACTGTTCCTGTTGCAAAACATCAATCCATTGTCACTACTATTCATGCGTTTCATACAAATTCCATTGTGTTCTAACTCTTCCTTTCTTGATCTTTCCCCATCTTCTGCTGCCAGATATTACGTTGACACTCACGTCGTATACTACTTATAAGTAGCTCACACCACACGATCAGTAGTGTTCGAGTAAAATACCTGCACAAGGTTAATACGCGCTTCGGTGACAGAGACTGCCATAGAACCTCTGAATTAACAGAGTTATGTGTCTCTAGTTAACACAATAGAACTTACTTTCTTTCTTAAACTGGGATGATCAGCAGTGAAGACCAGTTCGGTGGAATTGTGTGCAGCTGCCGGACTTCGGCTAATATCTTAGTTCATGTGATAGCTGGAACGGGACCACTATTCTAAAAGATCTCAGGGATTTAGTCCATTAGGACCTGTTACTCTCTCTCTCTCTCTCGAGATTACGTTTAGCTTTTCGTAATTCATTACAAGTCAGTGTACTTGTGTTGTATTTCGAAATCATGAATGAATCATTCTTAGACTACCATTAAGAACCTGTAAACACTGAACGACCGTTTCGTCCTGGTATGGGATTCATCAGCAGTGCGCATCTACGACTACTGCCCCACTAGCAGGATTCGAACCTAGGGGATTCGGTCTTAACCTCTGGACCACTGAGCCAGCATCGAACGGTGGTAATGTCTAACTCTGATCAATCTAAGGATTTCGCTCAACCTCATCCAATATCCTCGTTAGGTAACTGTCTACATCCATCAGGGTTCAACTTCACTGGTCACACAACTTCTCACTAGAACCCCGAGAATTTCCTTACGAAGCTAGTCACTAGTGAGTACATTGTTTTTGACTTTGCATTAGAGTATTATGGAGATCGTAGTTGGTAAATGTTGCCTATCATCGCTGACTTTTCTATTGCTATTGGTTTCGCAGCCCACTACTAACGATCTCTGCCCAAACGTTTTTCAATCTACGTTTAAATTTCCTCTACTACTCATTGTGTTCTGAGGCTACTGAGATGAGATGCTAATGAAATCACTTTAACAGTTGTCTAACTGTGCTCCTCTTGTTGTTCCTAAAATATAATCTTGATTTATTCGCCGTTCAGTTGTACCGTAAGTGATTTCCTTGTGATAACCTTTCTTTACCTAATCAGGTGCAAAAAAGTGAGTGCTTGTACTAATATATCATCAAGCTCTAGACATATGCCCCAGAACAAGTAGCAGTATTCTATCGAGTCTCTAATGATAGCTGATTGCTCAAATGACACATTTGCGTTCATTATTGAGTTGATGAGTGAAGGTCTCCTTGTCAAATGATCTATTCGTCTATGATTAGAGTTTTACCTTGTTAAGAATAAGTTGGTTGTCTGAACTATAGTTGTGGCAGACAGTCATCGTTGTTTGTTCGTTCAGCCTATAAGTGCTCTCTACTTTTGTTTAAATTAACTGGATGGGTCTCAAAATCTGTTAGGACGAGTGTAGAGAGCTTTCGATAAATTCTATCTTTTACTTGATCCAAACTACAGTCGATGGCAGCGTATGCAGAGACAACAAAGAGCCAACGGCATGTACCCTCATCTTTTTTGGTGTGCTTACCTATTCATTTAAAAGTCAGATATCGCATAAGCGACTATCTATTCTTCTAGTTCGATAGGATATTTCTCTGTATTTTGTACAATGAGATAGATCATTCATTCTAATGATTATAGTTTCGACAAGCTTGTTGATCAATTCATGTATATATATATATATATATATATATATATATATATATACACATATATTTTAGAACAACTAAGAGGAATCGATTCGAATATGGATAATATACGTGATGATATACACGAGGCACAACGTGATCTTGACGAAATTGATAAATGTTGTGGTTTATGCGTTTTACCATGGAAAAGGTGAGTCGTCACATGAGTTGTTGTAGTGTATGTAACCTTTGAATATTATCATTAATAATAATGATCAAGTGACTAACTAAAGAGGTGAGTAAATTGATAGTTTCTTTTTTTTTATCGAGAATCAGTACACTCATTCTAATACATAACCACAAATGAATTGAATAAGTAAATTGTAAAATTACACATCATTGTGGGGTTGTGGAGATTCGCTCCATCCTACTGTACGGATGCAAGACTTGGCCGTTAAGAGTAGAGGACTTCCATAGGTTACTAGTATTCGATCATAGATGTTTAAGAAGCATTGCTCGTATTTTGTGGGACAACCGAGTAAGCAATGCTGTCGTTAGGAAACGAGTCCTAGGTAAGGATGGCAGATCAATAGATGAAGTGCAGAAACTTCATCAGTTGAGGTGGTTGGGATATGTGTTATGTATGTCTAACCACCGACTGCCTCGAAGAGCTTTGTTTTGTGTTGTAGGAGTAGGTTGGAAGAAAGCTAGGGGCGGCCAGACCAAAACATGGCAGAAATCCATGAAATCACTGACATGTGAACTGAGTCATGTTGGTAGATGTAGACTACCTGGTTGGGGTCCGCGAGACGAAAGTCACCAATGGTTAGAGACGTTGAACGACATTGCTCAGAATCGTTTGCAATGACGCAAGTGCATCCATTCTTTGAGCTCTCTCAAATCCTAATCTTCTGGAATCGCCAGCACCTCTACCTTTGTCTTTATCACCTTATCTGACTGAATTATACTTCTTGAATGGTATCTTCAAACCCTAGTCTTCTTCATTACCATTAATACCTCTACTATCTTTATCACTATGGGATTTGAATTGACATCTGCGTCTCTGTGTTAATGTGGTGTGGCAACCTGAACTTATGTACATACGTACGAAGTTCTACGTTGCATCTAACTGACTGACTGTTGTGGAGATTATTGAACGTAATAATTTAGTGCACGAACTGATTGATTAGAGTTAGACATTAACACCGTTCGATGCCGGTCCAGTGGTTTCGAGGTTAGGTGTTCGCGCGCAAGACAGAAGATCCTGGATTCAAATCCTGCTAGTAGAGCGGGAGTAGTTGTGGATGCACACTGCTGATGAGTCCCATACCAGGACGAAACGGCCGTTGTCCAGTGCTTCTAGAGTTCTAATGTTGGTCTAAAAGTAATTTGAATTACAGGGTTTGTGAAGATTGTTAAGTTACGCAACTCCGTGAATTTGATCAAGTTAGACATTAACACCGTTAGATACCGGCTCAGTGGTCTAACAGTTAGGGCGTTCGCGCACAACACCGAAGGTCCTGCGGGGTGCAGGAGTCGTGGATGCGTACTGCTGAGGAGTCCCATACCAGGACGAAATGGCCGTCCAGTGCTTCCAGGTTTCTAATAGTGCTGGTCTAACATTGATCGATTCATGGTTTCAAAAAATGTGTAACTTAACAATCTTCACAACCCCGTAATGCAAATTACCTCTGCTCACTAGTGGCTAGCTTCGTGAGGAATCTTCTCCGAGTTCTGGTGGGAAGACGTGACCAGTGAAGTTCAGTCTGTTCGGGTGTAGGCAGTGTCTACCGAAGACTGTGTATGAGGTTGCGCAACTCCGTGAATTGATCAAGTTAGACATTAACACCGTTAGATACCGGCTCAGTGGTTTAAAGGTTAGATGTTTACGCCGAAGACCGAAGGTCCTGGATTCAAATCCTGCTAGTAGAGTGGGATTAGTCGTGGATGCGCACTGCTGAGGAGTTCCATACCAGGTCGAAACGGCCGTCGTCCAGTGCTTCCAGATTTCTAATGATGAAAATCTATCAATGATTGATTGATGATTTCAATGTGTGAAGTTAGACAGGCGTGGAAAATCTGGATGGTTATTTCGTCTTAGTATGGAACAACTCCTCAGTAACACACATCCATGACTGCAACCGAGAGTCGAACTCAAAGATCTTCGGTCTTGCTTTCGAACTCAGCCTCTAAACCGCTGGACTGTCATTCAATAATGCATAAGGTTAACTTCAATGAATCTGTAGTGACCTCACATATATTTGATTTGGCTTACATTTTATTAGGTCAAGCCTTTCGGTTAATTTATTTAACCAGGCCATTTGTATAACAATAACTCATATGTACCATTGGCTTTTATTATTGTGTGATTTGTATGAATTGGTATGACTGAACATTGTGTACACCTATGCACATATTCATCCTATTCGCTTTAATATTCATCTCTTAAATATCACGATGACTCAGATATCTTCCTTTCTATATATATACGAACATTTTAGTCTTATCAATTCATTCGCCCATTCGCACATTCACTCGCTAGTGTGTCTGTCCGGTGTCTGCTTGTGTTCTTCGGCCATCCCTATTTGTGGTGTGTGCCAAAATAAACGTATTCAACACTTCGAGTTTACCTTCTGATTCATATAACCGTCAGATGCCATCTAGTAACAATTGTCTGAACGAGCTAATTACCAAGATTAAGAACACGTAGAAATTGGTGACCACAAATCCATGATATATCACGTGACCATCTTTCATATTTAGCCCTGTCTCACTCCTTCGGTCAAATCTTCTCAAGCGTAATGAATATTTGATACTGGTTTCTTAGTTGCTAATCTCATTTGCACACACTGTGTAATTAATTCACTTTACATGTTTCGGTATTTTTCATTTTTTATTGTTTAGAGTGAAACCCGATACAAAATCATCGAAATATCCAAGTGGAACTAATGGTTATTCAACTGGAGCTAATTATCAAGTTAATTCATATCAACCACAATCAGGATTCCGACAGCAACAGCAACAACAGTTGCCACAGCAACAAAAAACTGGACCTTTTATCACTAGGTAAACAGTTTTTAATCTCTATGCAGTTGTTTTACTTATCCGTCATTCTGTTTTTATGATTATTTATTTCATTTCACATAACCATTCGCTTCTTTTGTTTCGTCCTCTTCGTAATTGTACACGAATAGTAAGTAGGTTGTCTATCTGTCCTGTCGTTAACAATGTTAATGTACGCAATTCAGAGTATACCTATCGTATCCTGTGCAAAATACATTCTACACTGACGGCAGTACACTAATTTAATTTACACACTTGAAATCATGAAACCTGGAAGCACTGAAAGACGGCCGTTTCGTCCTAGTATGGGTCTCATCAGTGACAATGCGCATCTACGACTCCTGCATCGTGCAGGATTCGGATCTAGGAGCTTCGGTGTTGAGCGCGAACGCCTAACCTTTTGGACCATTGAGCCTGTATCTAATTGCCTTTCCTATTGTTTAAAAAATACTTTGAAAGTTCATTGTGAGAACAGATAAAAAATATAAGATGGCAGGTACATTTGGTACTTCATCTACTGCCTCGACGAGCAATATTTTGTGGTGTAGGGGTAGGCTGAAAGAAAGCTAGGGGGCAGCCAAACCAAAACATGACAAAAATCTATGAAATCACTAACAAGTGGACTGAGTCATGTCGGCAAATGTAGACTACCTGATTGAGGTCTGCGAGATGATAGTAATCGATGGTTAGAGACCTTGAACGACATGGCTCAAAATCGTTTGCAATGGCGCAAGTGCATCCACTCTTTGTGTTCTATGAAATTCTAATCTTCAGAATTCCTCATCACTTCTATCTTTGTCTTTTTAAAGTTATGTCACTGAATTATACTTCTTAAATAATTTCTTCGAACCCTAATTTCAATTACCAGTAATACTTCTACTATCTCTACCACTTTTGGATTTGAACTGACATTTGCGTCTCTGTGCTGATAAGGTATGGCAACATGAACTGACGTACGTACAAGTACAAATTTCTACGATGTAACTGACTGACTGATTTTCAATTATAAGTCAACCATTCATAAACATTCATTTCTGAATGTCTCTGACTCTTATTGCATCCTTACAAAAAAATGTCAACTATTTTTAGATTATTGATTAAATGAACACAATCTGTCTAGATTAGACTTATTCAAGATAATGAAAATTTAAGTTATTCGGCCAGATACACTGTAGAACTTCGTACGTACGTACGTACGTACATTAGTTCAAGTTGCCAAACCACATTATCACAGAGAGATTATTGAAATGTCAATTCAAACCCCATTGTGATAGATGTAGTCGAAGTATTAGTGGTAATGGAGGAGATTACGGTTCGAAGATGTTATTTAAGAAGTTTAATCCAGTGAAATGAATTTGAATAGAGAAAGATAAAGGTGATGAGGAATTTGGAAGATTACAATTTGAGAGAATACAAGGAGTGGATGTATCTGCGCCATTGTATTCAAAGCCATGGCATTCAAAGTCTCCAACCATCGGTTACTATTGTCTCGTGGACGTCAACCAGGTAGTCTACGTGTACCAACATGTTTGAGTTCAGTTATCAATGACTTCATGGATAACGTTTGGGTAAAACCTTGTCTATTGTTTCTTTAACCATGATCATAACCACTAAGCTTATTAGCTCAGACTACTTCCCTTACACCTTGTTCATTTTTGTAAGTGGCATGAAGCTGTGGCTTATAAGCCATCATCTGAACCTTCGCTTTATCTTTGGATCCCGATTGATTGGTGAAGAGGTTAAGCATTCGCATACAAGATCGTAGCTCGCTTGTGAGTTCGTTAATGTGCACTGTTGAGGAGTCCTATAATAGAACAAAACGACTGTCTAGTGCTCCTTAAGTTTTTTTATGGTGGTCTAACATTGATGAGTTCATGATTTCAATAAAACCCAACAATCTTTGCAACCGTCTTATCAATTCTTATAAATAGCTAACTCTCCAGTTCAATGTTCATTACATAAAAACTCGCACAAAGCCTTTTATAGCTAACATGTTAGCTCTGCTCTTCAAATGGCCTTACCACTGGAGATGGAAATCCATGAGTTAAGGTGATTTGCAACATTTTTAGGGTCCACGTTTTTGTTAGGTTTGTCACTAGGTAGGTACACTTGAAACTATTACGGGTTCACCTTAGTCGATAAACGCGAACGAGACAATGAACCAGCGTCTATGTAGGCTACCTTGATCCGAAACCGCTAAAGATATAGCGTAGAAAGTATATTCTACAAACACCCAGGAATCACAATGCAATCAAGCACACGAATCTCGTTTGTTTATACATCATAGAAACGTCCTTGGGAAAGTCACGAAAATAGCACACTACAATACACAGTAGCCAATCACAGCCAAGGATTTTCCTGGTGGGAATTGAACTCTCAAGGTCAACTAATCAGCCCATGATCGCAAACATGAAATTTGAAATAAGGCATTTATTAAGCGAGTTCAGGCGATCTAACCTCTCCAACAGTTTTCTAACCTCTTCTTTCTGTAGTGAGAAGGCAGCATCACTGTAGATACTGGTTATTCGAAGGAAACACCTGACTACAGTCACATCTCTTCTCCACAGTCAGAAATATGACTTCGCCCCCAGACATTGAGTAGCTGCTCCTAGTCTCATCGTTCTCCAATCAACCTGTCTGGTATGGTAGGACCTACAGGAACCTATTTTTCATCCAATATAGGTCGGTTAGGTCATCACGATAGGTGCAAGCTTGATCACTACGTCAAGGTAGCGGCTATGGTCGGGTGAAGAATATCATGGTTTTCGCTGAATAATCCCCCGAAATACTACTTCCCTCTTAATAAAACTCAGTAATTTTTGCAACAGTTTTACTGATTCTTAAGTATAATTAACTAACTCTCCAGTTTTTATGTTGATTACATGAAAAGTTGGAATTGATCTATCGCTCTCTTTATTTCTGTTTCCCCCCCTCCGCCACAGAATCACAAATGATGATCGTGAAGATGAAATGGAACAGAATTTACAACAAGTTTCTGGTATGGTGTCACAACTTCATTCTATGGCTACTGATATGAATCAAGAGATAACAACACACAATCAAATACTTGATCGCATTGATCGAAAAGTTTGTTTTGTCATGTTTTTTTTGATTTTTGTGATTGCAAAGAAGAGTGTGATCAATTTGGTCTCTCGTGTGCTTTTATGTGGGTTATGACGGGGTGGATGTTACTTTCCGGCTGCCCACACTGTGCAGGGCAGGAGTTCTGGTTGTCAGAACCGGAGGGGGGGTGCATCGGCCTCATAACTTTCGAAGGAATTCAGCTTTCATTATGAGACGTTATAATTTTTTTAAAGGAAGACCTTCTACCTCCCAGAATAGAGTTTACATGGTTTGAACACCTTTATCCGTGCTTGGGACCGGCAGTAAGTAGCCTTGAAGGGTCTACAGGCGGAGTTGATTGAAAAGAAGTAGTAGGGTAGTGAAGGAGAACACAGGTGAGGGCAACCGAATTGTATTTAACGAAAATTACAGAGTTACTCAGTAAAATAGGAAAACCATATCGTAAACGGTTAATTTGCAAATCTTCAATCCATCATCAATCGATTGTCTGACAGTTCACTCACTATTCATGCGTTTCATAGAAATTCCATTGTGTTCCCCCCACTCTTCCTTTCTTCTTGATCTTCCCCCATCCTCTTCTGCTGCCAGACATTATGTTGACACTCGCGTCATATACTACTTATAAGTAGCGCGCACCACAGTACATGTAGTCGACGTATATAAGCAGTCATCGGAAAGATTTAGAAGGATTTGAAGATGTTATTTATATTTTTAAGGAGTATCATACAGTGAAATAAATTTGAGAAGTGTAAAATGTGGATTTCAGATTTAGAATTGTGTTTGTGTTCTCCCGAATTGTAATCTTCTGAATTCCTTATGACCACCTTCACTAGACAATATTCCTTGAATTTAACAATTTTCGAAACCTCATCTTTCCGATTACCACTAAAATACTTCTACTACCTCTATCATAATGGAATTTGAATTGACAATTCTATCTATGTGTTATTGTGTGGTATGACAACTTGAATTTGATGTACGTACGTATGAATGTACAAAGTTCTATGTTTTCGCTGACTGACCGACTATTTTTTAAGGGTTGCCTATTCTAAAATACAAGTAATTGAAAGCTGTTTTTGTTATACTGACTAGTGTCTCAGATTTGAAGGCGATACGTGCTAACCTTCCTTTGAGTGGTTACTTTAGTGAGAAGTCAAGCGTAGAGGAAGAAGTCTATTTGACTATCCAAATACTGTACATAAATACTCATATATATATATATATATATATTTGAATCGTGTACTGGCCGAATCGCTACATTACGGATCATTGTGGAACAATCAATTGAATGGAACTCACCACTCTACATCAACTTCATCGACTACGAAAAAGCATTCGATAGCGCGGACAGGGAAAAAACTGTGGAGGCTTCTTTGGCACTATGATGTACCTGAGAAAATAGTTAACATCATACGGAGTTCTTATGATGGATTCAACTGCAAAATCGTACACGAAGGACAGCTAACAGACTCTTTCGAGGTGAAGACCGGTGTCAGGCAAGGTTACTTACTCTCACCCTTTCTCTTTCTCCTGGTGATCGACTGGATTGTGAAGACGTCGATATCTGAAGGGAAGCACGGTATTCAGTGGACAGCTAGGACACAGCTGGACGATCTGAACTTCGCAGATGACCTGGCTCTTCTATCACACATGCAACAACAAATGCAAGAGAAGACGACCAGTGTAGCAGCAGCCTCTTCGGCAGTAGGTCTCAATATACATGAAGGAAAGAGCGAAATTCTCCGATGCAACACAACATGCACCAACCAAATCACTCTTGATGGAGATGCCTTGGAGGACGTTAAGCACCTTTACATATCTTGGCAGCATCATCGACGAGAAAGGTGGATCCGATGCAGATGTGAGGGCACGGATTGGCAAAGCAAGGGCTGCATTTCTACAGTTGAAAAATATCTGGAACTCCAAACAACTTTCAACCAAAACCAAAATCAGGATTTTCAATACAAATGTGAAGACAGTTCTACTGTATGGAGCGGAAACTTGGAGAACTACAAAAGGCATCATTTAGAAGATACAAGTGTTTATTAACGGTTGTCTTCCCAAAATACTTTGTATTCGTTGGTCAGACACCATCAGGAACAACGTACTGTGGGAGAGAACAAACCAGATTCCAGTTGTTGAGGAAATCAGTTAGGAGCGGTGGAAGTAGATAGGACACACTACGAAAAGCACCTAACTGCGTCACTAGTCAACCCCCCCTCGTTTGTGCGACTATAGTAATAAGAGACCAAGTACGGTTTTGCGGATAAATTTGATTTTCATGTGTTCATGTATGCAAACAAATATGAGATTGAGAAGCGTACAAGCAAAGCACAGCGAAACGAAGTGGATAAGACGACGAGTAAGCTAACTGAATTCGAGGAAGTGTAACTCTCAGTATTTATTAGTCAAACAATAATATAGACCCTTTCCAGTTTATTCATTCTTCTCATGTGTGTTTCCAATACCTCGACGTTATATGTTATTGGGTTTTCCTCTTTTCTTTTGGCCTTGAGGATTTCAAGTTACAGCCTGGCCTTGTAATGCAGTTTGGTGATTTCCTCAATGTGTGTGTGTCCTATCCTCCTCCAGCACTTTCTCTTAATTTCTTTGTCATATGGACCCAGGTTTGTTTTCTAGAAAGTAGGTTGTTGCTGATGTTGTCTGGCCAACGGATTCTTGTGGTGCGCGCTACTTATAAGTAGTATATGACGCGAGTGTAAACGTAATGTCTGGCAGCAGAAGAGGATGGGGGAAGATCAAGAAAAGAAGAGTGGGAACACAATGGAATTTGTATGAAATGCATGAATAGTGAGTGAACTGTCAGATAATCGATTGGTGATGGATTGAAGATTTGCAAATTAACGGTTACGATATGGTTTTCCTATTTTACTGAGTAACTCTGTAATTTGAGATAAATACAATTCGTTCGCCCTCACCCGTGTTCTCCTTCACTAAATCCTGAGTCGAAAACCGTTAATCAACATTTGTATCTTCGTGGTCATTCAAGTTTCTGCTTCATACTGCGGAACTGTTTTAACAATTTTCATTGAAAATTGTGACTTTTGGTGTTTGTTGATGGGTTGTTTTGAATTCCAGATGTTGTTGTTCAATTGTAGAAATTACTGGTCCCCTTGCTCTCCCCCACACCTCCTCGATGTATTCTATCGTGCATATATATTTTTTGTCATGTCATTTGTATGTCGAAATTCGTTCGCGTTCGCGCACAATACCGAAGGTCCTGGGTTCGAATCTTGCGAGGTTCAGGAGTCGTGGATGCGCAGTGCTGAGGAGTCCCATACCAGGACGAAACGGCCATCCAGTGCTTCTTGCAGGTTTCTAATGGTGGTCTAACATTGATCGATTCATGGTTTCAAAAATGTGTAACTTAACATTCTTCACAACCCCGTAATGAAATTCTATTTGTCCAAAATACAGTTTGTAAATAAATTGCGTTTTTCTGTTTTGTTTTTAGGCCGAGTACAATCAAACCGAGTTGATGTTTGCTCAAAAGAAGGCTGATAAAATTCTAGGGTGAGTTTGTATTTTAAAAATTTAAAACAAGGTGAAAATATGCATATGTGCTATACAAATTTATGTTTATGGGCTGTCTGATGGAGCGATACTGTCCGTCCGAACCTGAACAAGTCTTTTACATACCGATCTAATCTACTAAGCACTGGAGTAGCGTGTGTAACACAATGCGAGTTCCTATAGTAGCCGATGACCAATACTAGGTTCACACATCGCTTATTCTTTACAGGATCGTGGGGATAGTATGTGTAGTGAAGGAGAACACAGGTGTGGGCAACCGAATTGTATTTAACGAAAATTACAGAGTTACTCAGTAAAATTGGAAAACCATATCGTAAATCGTTAATTTGCAAAATATCAGTTCATCATATCGAACTGGACTGTTCCTGTTGCAAAACATCAATCGATTGTCACTATTCATGCGTTTCATACAAATTCCATTGTGTTCTAACTCTTCCTTTTTTGATCTTCCCCCATCTTCTGTTGCTAGACATTACGTTGACACTCACATCATATACTACTTATAAGTAGCTCGCACCACAGTACGTACCATTTGTTTGGAATCAGGGTTTTTACAACTCTTGTCTAATTAAGACATTCTGTACTTGTCAGTCCAGTTTGAAGAAGGACAGAAAGGGCTGTTCTCACTTTCAACCTTAATAGAGCATTTAGGAGGAGCGTAAGCAGATACGACGAAGAAGCAGCTGTGAGTGTCCCTATTTTTCCCGAGTCCTTATTGTCCCGTTAAGTTGGACAGCGCATAAGTGACTATCAACTGGGATCCACTCTAAGAGAGCTATTTCTGCTTTAGGTCGTGATGCTATACCTACACCAGCGAGGCCCCGCGAAGCAGCAACAGCAGGGCTTCCAGATACATGAAGAGTAAATCTAGCTGGTTCTTTCTTTTGACATGGTGACGTCAAATGAATGACGCTATTCGGATCCTGTATGCGCGTTTCCGAGACGTAGCATACATATCTATGGCGCGAGACTCTAAAGTCCTTCCTAGGAAAGCCTGTTGTCCTACTTGACAAAATGTCCGGGCATTAAAAGCTCGAACATGTAATTTAGAACGAGGTTTCAGGAGACCAGGAATAACGTTTCGTGAACTCGCATCGTTTGCATTAGCAGTGCCCAGGGTGTTAAAAGATTGTGAGAAGGGTGAGACGTGGAGATAAGAGAGAGATGTTAGGTTGTGTATGAAGGATTTGTTTGTGATCCATTCGATCTCGTGTGCTGTTACGGGTATGAGGGCGGATGTCACTTCTCGGCTGCCCACACACCGTAGAAGAAAGGCCGTCCGAAAGTAGCTGACGTGTCATGCACAGCAGTTCTCTTCGTCCAACTACATGGATGCAAAACATGGCCAGTTAGAGTTGAAGATATTCATAGGTTAATGGTATTCGATCATGCATGTATTAGAAGCATTAAACTGATAATTGCGTCTCTGTGCTGCTAATGTGGTATGGCGACCTGAACTGATTGATGTACTTACGTACTAAGTTCTACGTTGTAACTGACTGACTGACTGACTGACTGACTAACTGACTGAGAGCATTTAGGTGCTTCACACTTATTAAAAACTTTTACCAGAATATGCTAGAGTAATTTAGAATTGATTTCTAAGAGTGTTAGGCACTATCCAAGCAAGCATTAACTCTATAAGCTGAACAGCACAACTCGATTGTATGTCACAAACATGCCGGAGGTACCTCAGAGAAAACCTTGGATGACGACTCTGTTTGTTAGTTGATACGATTGTTTTGTCATAGTTCGATTATTTGTAGATAAGTTATCATCCGATTGAAATAATAAACGTCGTTCATATCTTATTTTGTGCATAAGTATCAGTTAATAAAACGCAGAGATGTATTGCACGATGGAATCGGGGTACTAATTGTTATTACTATTGTTTCCAATGTCGCCAACTCAGCAGTTTAGGTGTTAGTCAGTCAGTCAGTTGCAACGTAGAACTTCGTACGTATGTACATAAGTTCATGTTGGCATACCACATTAGCACATGGACGCAAATTTCAAATCAAATCCCATAGTGATAGAGACAGTATAGGTAGTAATGGTAATGAAGAAGAATAGGGTTTGAAGATATTATTCAAGAAGTATGATTCAGTGAGATAAGGTTAGAAAGACAAAGGTAGAGGTGCTGACGAATCCAGAAGATTAGGATTTGAGAGAGCACAATGAATAGATGCACTTGCGCCATTGCATACGATTTTGAGCCATGTCGTTCAAGGTCTCTAACCACTGGTGACTTTTGTCTTGCAGACCATAACTAGGTAGTCTACATCTACCAACATGACTCAGTCCACTTGTCAGTGGCTTCATGGATTTGTGCCATGTTTTGGTCTGGCCGCCCCTAACTTTCTTCCAGTCTACTCCTACACTACAAAACATAGCTCGTCGAGGCAGTCGGTGGTTAGGCATACCCAGCACATGTCCTAACCACCTCAACTGATGAAGTTTCACTACTTCATCTACTGATTTGCCATCCTTACGTAGTGCTCGTTTCCTAACGACAGCATTGCTTACTCGGTTGTCCCAGGATACACGAGCAATTCTTCGGAGACACCGATGATCGAATACTATTGTCTCGCGGACCCCGACCAGGTAGTTTACACCTACCAACACGGCGCGAGATTCTAAAGTTCGAGCTAAGGAAACCCGTTGTCCTACTTGGTATTATTTTCATACATTGTAGTAGTTTATATTAGAACTGGGATTCAAGAGACCGGGTATAACGTTTCGCGTAATCGAATCGTTCGCGTTAGCCACACGAGCTGATAATGTAACTTGAGAATGTTTGGTCATGTTGGTAAGAGAGTTATTAAAATGTATGGGGGTGATATGATTCTGACTGGGTCGGTATCGTGTGTGGATGTCACTTCTCGGCCGCCCATCATTACGTACTACGAAGTGTATAGATAAGTTTAGATAGGGAAAAATATAGATGGAAGAGACACGAGTATCGGGAATTTCTCTCCGTGAACACATAAATTGGACATTTTTGAAACCATGAATCGACCAATGCTAGACCACCATTAGAAACCTGGAAGCACTGGATGGCCGTTTCGTCCTGGTATGGCACCCACGACTCCTGCACCCCTCAGGATTCGAACCCAGGACCTTTGGTATTGTGCGCGAACGCCTAACCATCGGACCACTGAGCCGGTATCTAACGGTGTTCATGTCTAACTTGATCAATTCACGGAGTTGCGCAACCTCATACACAGTCTTCAGTAGTTACTGTCTACACCCGAACAGGTTGAACTTCACTGGTCACGTCTTCCCACTAGAACTCAGAGTAGATTCCTCAAGAAGCTAGTCACTAGTGGGCACAGGTAATTTGCAGTACGGGGTTGTAAAGATTGTTAAGTTACACATTTTTTAAAACCATGGTCCGATGGTTAGGCTTTCGCGCACAATACCAAAGGTCCTGGGTTCGAATCCTGCGAGGTGCAGGAGTCGTGGGTGCGCACTGCTGATGAGGAATCCCATACCAGGACGAAACGGCCATCTCTCAGTGCTTCCAGGTTTCTAATGGTGGTCTAACATTGATCGATTCATGGTTTCAAAAATGTGTAACTTAACAATCTTCACATTCCTATAATTTCGGTTATATATACATATATAAGTAGGAGATGGGATCGAACCTCGTTGAACAAATGATGGAGGTATACGATTGATAGATCACTCGAACGGATTATGTAGTGACGTAATCTATTTTCATTATTGACTCATAATAAACTGCCTTGTTTGGTTTAACCCGTTTCATATAAAAATAGAAACGTATTCATGTATATATATATATATATATATATATATATATATATAGAGAGAGAGAGAGAGAGAGAGAGAGAGAGAGAGGAAGCAGTAGCCGCCAGGCTAATGACGAAATCATATCAGCAGATCAATTGTTCTCGCCTTGTTCGCTTATACATTATTGATTTTCCTATGCAAAGAAAAGAAAAGAGAATAAATAGAAGGTTTCTTCTGTTTTCTTCTGTTTTCTATGTATGTGTGTATCACAATGCTTGTTTGGTATCACTAATATCTAAAATCAGTCACGTGATCGTTTCGTTTCCTACATACGTGCATATATATATATATATACACCTACCTATATATAATGTCGTCGTGATAATAAGGTTACTTTAACAACAATAGAAAAAACTAAGTAATAGTAAACGAACTAGTTAGTTAGTTGATAATAAATATAGAGCACTGGTGAATTGAGGAGAGACTACTTATATTGTATTGTTGTTTCCCTATTGAAAAAATGTAACTGATTTTAAGTAATGAAGGTCATTTATTCCTGTTTACTTATGCCTAGTTATAGATCACATATCTAACTATCTATCTGTATATGTATTTTATGGAAATCAAAAATCGATGACTGTTAGGCTACCACCATTAAAAAGCTGAAAGCAGTTGGAGGGCAGTTTCGTCCTTGTACCGGGACTCATCAACGCAAGAGAGAATCGGACCTAGAACTTCTGGCTTCACGTGCTTGAGAAGCCGCGATCAGTGGAGTTGAATTATATTGATGATGATTGTTCCTCAAAATTGTGAATTGAATGGTTGGTTGATTGATTCATTGGTAAAGAGGTAAAGAACGTTCATGCGTTACCCGAAACTCTTTTTGAGTTTGATTGGTTTGTAAGAAAATGGTCATCTGGTACTAAGTTTTATACAGAGTGGTTCTAACATTGATCGATTCGTGATTTTGAATTGAATCTCATCATATCTACACAATAACAAGAGCAGAGAAAGTTAAGGCACAAGCTGCACACACAGAAGCAAACAGGGAAGTGAAGAAGAGCATCAGAGCTGACAAATGAAAATATGTGGAAGATCTAGCAACTTCATCGACTACGAGGAAGCATTCGATAGCATGGACAGGAAAACACTGTGGCGGCTTCTTCGATACTATGGTGTGCCTGAGAAAATAGTTAACATCATACGGAATTCTTATGATGGATTCA